GGCCCTGGAGGCCGCAAACGCCGACGCAGAGGGAGAAGATCTGGCGTTCTGGTTCGACTGAGACGGCGCACTAACAGACCACCAGACCAGTTTATTACTGGCTAATGTGCAGTCTCTGGAGAACAAGCTATGCGAGCTTCGGGCACGGATCTCATTCCAGCGAGAGATGCGGGACTGCTGCGTGATCTGCCTCACAGAAACCTGGCTATCGGACAAGGTACCGGACTCCGCAATACAACTACCGGGGTTCTCCGTGCATTGCGCGGACAGGTCACAGGATCTTACTGGGAAAAGCAGAGGCGGTGGTGTATGTTTCATGATCAACAACAGCTGGTGTGATTATGCGAACGTGCACCCGGTCAAATCCTTCTGCTCACCGGACCTGGAGTACCTGATGATTAAGTGCAGGCCATTCTGGCTACCGAGGGAATTTACAGCAGTGATTATTACGGCTGTTTACATTCCCCCACAAGCCGACACTGACCGAGCACTCAGGGAACTGTACAGCGCGATCAGCAGTGAGGAAACCGCACACCCAGAGGCAGCATTTATCGCAGCCGGCGACTTTAATAAGGGAAACCTGAAGAAAGTCTCACCCAAACTCCACCAACACATCCATTTTAACACTCGTGGAAATCGGCTACTCGACCACTGCTACACCTCTTTCGGACCCTCTTTGCCTGAGTGGCCGCCGTTGCCTTCCGCACGGCCGGCCCCGGACCCTCTTTGCCTGAGTGGCCGCCGTTGCCTTCCGCGCGGCCGGCCCCGGACCAGCGCTGTCGCCGTTGCCTTCCGCACGGTCGGCCTCCCGAACTGTGTCCACGACGCCGCCGTTGCCTTCCGCACGGTCGGCCCCCTGAACTGTTTGGACTCCTGTGCTGTCGGCCCCCGGGCCGGCCCCCTGAACTCTTCTGTTTTGGATTCCATTTTTCTTGGGCTGTGGTGTGTTTTGTTTCATTGGTTTTTTTGGGTTGGGACTCGTGTTTTGTTTTTCTTTTTGTCTTTTGGCCTTCTGGTGCTCCTGTTTTGTTTTGCCTCGATACGTGTGTTTGCTATACCATATATCAGTAAGAGCAGATATAACCTCTCTCCTAAGTTGTGTGTGCATGCCAGAGTGCTCTGGGAGGCACACAGAGTCTCCACAGACGGAGTCCACACCGAGACAGCACCGGTGGGCGGCCACGTGGTCCGCGGCCGAGACGAGACAGTTCAGGCGGGCGGCCACGTGGCCCGCGGCCGAGACGAGACAGTTCAAGCGGGCGGCCGAGTGGAAGGTGGTGGCGACCACTGAGCCGGTCCGGTGGGCGGCCGCAAGGAAGGCGGCGGCGGCCACTGAGCAGGTCCGGTGGGCGGCCGCGAGGAAGGCGGCGGCGGCCACTGAGCAGGTCCGGTGGGCGGCCGCGAGGAAGCGGCGGCGGCCACTGAGCAGGTCCGGTGGGCGGCCGCGAGGAAGGCGGCGGCGGCCACTGAGCAGGTCCGGTGGGCGGCCGCGAGGAAGGCGGCGGCGGCCACTGAGCAGGTCCGGTGGGCGGCCGCGAGGAAGCGGCGGCGGCCACTGAGCAGGTCCGGTGGGCGGCCGCGAGGAAGGCGGCGGCGGCCACTGAGCAGGTCGGTGGGCGGCCGCGAGGAAAGCGGCGGCGGCCACTGAGCAGGTCCGGTGGGCGGCCGCGAGGAAAGCGGCGGCGGCCACTGAGCAGGTCCGGTGGGCGGCCGCGAGGAAGGCGGCGGCGGCCACTGAGCAGGTCCGGTGGGCGGCCGCGAGGAAGGCGGCCGCAATGACGACGTCCAGAACATGGCTGACGTGACGACGCGGCAGCCGCAGGACCAGGCGAAGCAGAAGCTGAGGCCGAGGCCTGACCAGGCGAAGCAGAAGCAGAGGCCGAGGCTGGACCAGGCGAAGCAGAAGCAGAGGCCGAGGCTGGACCAGGCGAAGCTGAGGCAGAGGCCGAACCAGGCGAAGCAGACGCTGAGTCTGAGGCCGGACCAGGCGAAACAGCCGCTGAGGCTGAGGCCGGACCAGGCGAAGCAGACGCTGAGGCCGAGGCCGGACCAGGCGAAGCAGACGCTGAGGCCGAGGCCGGACCAGTCGAAGCAGAGGCCGAGGCCGGACCAGGCGAGGCAGCGACTGAGTCCGATGCCGGACCAGGCGGCGCGGAAGCCTCTGGCTGGAGACAGGCAGGGCCAGTAGGCGCGGAAGCCTCTGGCTGGAGACAGGTAGGGCCAGGCGGCGCGGAAGCCTCTGGCTGGAGACAGGCAGGGCCAGTAGGCGCGGAAGCCTCTGGCTGGAGACAGGCAGGGCCAGTAGGCGCGGAAGCCTCTGACTGGAGACAGGCAGGGCCAGTAGGCGCGGAAGCCTCTGGCTGAGGAGCGGCCGGGCCAGCGGGTGCGGAAACCCCTGGCTGAGGAGCGGCCGGGCCAGCGGGTGCGGAAACCCCTGGCTGAGGAGCGGGAGAGCTCACAGCTGGCTCTGGGTGCTGTGGCTGCAGGTCTGGGAACTGAACAGGATGGTAGACGGGCGACTGGGAGACAGGAGGCGACTGGACTACAGACTGGACCGGAGCAGACTGGACTGACTGGACTACAGACTGGACCGGAGCAGACTGGACTGACTGGACTACAGACTGGACCGGGGAAGACTGGACTGACTGGACTACAGACTGGACAGGGGAAGACTGGACTGACTGGACTACAGACTGGACAGGGGCAGACTGGACTGACTGGACTACAGACTGGACAGGGGCAGACTGGACTGACTGGACTACGGACTGACTGGAGGGGACTGGAGGACAGGAGACGGAAGTACAGGGGGCTGGAGTGAAGGCTGAACAGCAGGTGAGGGAACTGACTGGAGTGGAGGCTGAACAGCAGGTGAGGGTACTGACTGGAGTGGAAGCTGAACAGCAGGTGAGGGAACTGACTGGAGTGGAAGCTGAACAGCAGGTGAGGGAACTGACTGGAGTGAAAGCTGAACAGCAGGTGAGGGAACTGACTGGAGTGGAGATGCTAAGGGATGAACAGAGGTAGGCGAGGCTGACGACGGAGCTGAGGTTGGTGTGGCTAATGGCTGAGCTACAGACTGAGCTAGTGACGGAGATAAAATTACAGCTTGGGCTAGTAAGGCTGGTGCCTGGGCAGGGGACAGTTCAGCTAATCTAACTAGGGATAGTGCGAGGGTGTGAAAGGCTGGGTCGGGAGGTGGATGAAGTGGTGAGGTAGCAGGTGAACCGGTTAGCTCTTCCAAGCCTCTAGGGAGGTCTGGCTGGGTTCTGGCTGCCCTCAGCCTGGGCGCTGGGACAGGCACCCCCACCCGAGAAACAGAAGCAGGTGTGGAGGTAGACTGGGTCACAGCTGCCCTCGTCCTGGGAGCTGGCACAGGTTTGGGTGTAGGCTGACTGATAGGGGTGGAAATAATGACTGGGTGGGTGAATCTGCCAAGTTTCTCAGGGATTATACTGGTCCTTCTGCCACCACTATTTACAGTCTTTGGGGGAGCAGAGCAGAACAAATCTTCCCAGTCCACAGAATCCTCCAGGAGGGAAACATCCCATGAATGAGAGATGGGTTTATGATTGGTTTTAAGTAGAGAGTCAAATGAGGGTGGAAAACAGTCACTGGAACTCACCACCGGGAATTGCTGGAAATAGTCCATTTTATGGCGGCGTGTGCGCCGCTTTCTCCGGGAGGAGGAAGCGGGCCGGGTACACGTCCGAGCCTCTGGCACGGGAACCTCTGTTGAGCCGAGGTGGGAGGCGGAGCCGCTGTGCCGTGGCGAGGTTGAAGGTCCGGTGAATGAGGCAGGTGACGTGTGAGCGAGGAGCGGACTCGCGAGAGAGGGAGCCGCCGAAGCGCGGCGCGAAACGCCCACTCTCCGCGGCAGATGCTCCGGTGCAGGTGAGGCAGCAGGTGGGAGAACGCGGTGTCTCCGAGGTCCGCCCAGAGCCAGGCGAGTACCCTCGAAGATGTGCTCTCGCTCCGTGAAGAGCCGCTGTTTCTCCTTGAGCTTTTCCGCACACAAGGAGAGCGCTACCTCCTGCCCCTCGTAGAGGTCCGAGTCCGCTGGGTTCCAATTGTGTCTTCGTGGCACGGGTCGTGTCATTCTGTCAGGCGTTGTGTGGAGGCGAGGAAGAAGGAACCCAAACGCAGGACTGGCAGGTAGGTAAAGGTTTATTATAGGGAGTGGGTGAACAGAGGGTGAACGGACACTGACTGGCTGGACAACTGAACGGCTGACTGAACTGAGGGAACACACGGGAAGGACAACGTAACATCAATGACACGACAGTAAACGGGTAGAAACAGAGTGCTTAAATACACAGACTGATGAGGATGATAATGAGAGGCCGGTGGGTACACAACTGAACATAATCTGGCTAATGACACAGGAAAAGCAGGAAGTGAGCACATGGAAGTGGCAAAATAAACTGAACATTAACAAAACTGAAAACACTGGGTCACCGACCCAGGAACCCTGACAGGACCCTTTTAAATTTTAGTTGAACACCCCTGTCTGCTAGTTTGGTGTGGCATGTTTAATGTTTACTGACACCAAACAAAATTCTACAACAAATATTTGTATCTTAAGGAAGACCCATTGTATATATGAACAAACTGGGAGCCATTGGATCAAAATATAAAATATCAAAATTTTATTGTCTTAGGAGGACAAGTCATCTTCTTTTATACACTCTGTTTTTATGTAAAAATGTTTCAAAGTTGTAGTAATATTTACAGCCTAAACATGTTCCCCCAATCAGAATTTTGTCCAATGTTTAGAGCAAATAAAAGGTATTACATAATGTCTGCTAAAACATGTGTTTGCACACACACACACAGAAATTTTGATATTTTATTTTTATGTTACTGGAACTTTGGAGGCCAGGTCTGCTACAACATGTGCCACACACACACACACACACACACACACACACACAGACACACACACACACACACACACACACACACACACACACAGAAAGTGTAAAGTTTTTATTCTTTTGCAGGAACTTGGGTTACCTTTGGAGGTCAGGTCACAGATGAGGTAAGAGACAACAAATACCTTTTACTTCCGCATGTAAATTCAATCTCATTGTGAAATGAATGGACCCCATGTAGCCTCAGGTGACAGTTTTGTTGTGCTCTATTTGCACAATACATCCTTTTTTTTCTTTATGTTGGGAGATCAGCTTTTCAGCTGCTTCTCCACTCAACTCTGTACTCAGCCACTCTCTCGAGCCTCTGCGTCACTGAAAATAGGGAGAGTCTACGGCGTTATTTTTGTGCCACTATTCTGAGCGCACATAAAAAATATTTGCAGGTGTTGCATTTTGAGGAGAAATTTATTTTGAGCGAAGAAAAGCTAAATTTGAGTGAAAAAATTCATTGCTGTGTGCAAAAAATGTATTTCAGTGTTTGCTGTTATCCATACACACACACACACACAATAGCAGCTCCTCTCGCTCAGTTTTTGCATTTGCGCTTGCTCGCATTGTGTTGCTTGCAGTCTCAACATTTCTGCCCATGCGCGTTCAACTTTGATTATTCTATTCTATTCTATTCTATATATTTGTATGGCTCCTCCACTTTAATCAGGTCCAACATCCCCCGTGGAGAAAATTCTGTGAAGGCCTGGGGCACCTCTTGCACTCCAAAACAACAGAGGGTCTAACCAGCAATCCCAATTGCATTCATCCTCATGAATGAAATTTCGAATTTTAAAGTCTTATCCAGCCGCTTCACCACCCTATCAGTCTGAGAGTGGTAGATGCTGGTCCGAATAGATTTAATGCCCAGTAATTCATACAGCTCTTCCAGTGTGCGAGACATGAACGACATGCCCTGGTCAGTCATTATCACAAGATTACCTGAAACAGCGCTTGCGCTACATTCATTGCAGAAATGGTGAGCAGCAGCACTGCTTCCAGGTATCCCCTTGCATAATCCATCAGAACTAATACAAAGCAATAGCCGTGTGCACTCCGGTAAAATAGCCTGATGAAAACCATTCCAATGCACCACCCCTCCACTGCAGCAGAGCCACAGACCAGACCCCTGCCACACTCATGTTTAAGATGGTGTTCCTATGATTCAGATGAATATGCAATTTCTGAGACAATCATGAAATGACAGCAAATAAGAATGATCTGGTACTAACTGTGACTTTGCAAAAATTATAGTTGTTGTCAACAAGCATGTGCTCCCTTAAGCATATTACTAAAAATCTAGATTTAAAATTATCCATCGCTTAAAGGAGAGGTTTAAGAAGTATGCATTTCCAGTTTGTCATTTTAATATTTTGTTTTGTGTCATAAAGAAGTATAATTGAGGAAGAACAGAATAAACAATGTCAGAGCCCCACAAAATGACTTCCAGTTGACCACTGTTATAATTTTCTCTGATAAAAACAATCAGAAACAGACTTCATGAGGGTGACCTGAGGGCCTGATGAAATGGCCCCTTGGCTCACTGGCCAGATTGTGGGACCCAATTGGCATTTCCCATAGAATACCAGAACTGGCAGGCCCTCCACTGGCACCCTGTGCTTTTCACAGATCAGTGAAAGCAAGTACCAGTACCAAGATCTAGCTGGACAAGCACAAGCACAAGAGCACTGTCAGAAGCCATAAGAAGGTTAAGGTCAAGGTCAAATTTATTTATAGAAGTAGACGACATAGGTCAATATAAACAACTTAAACAACAACTACAACTGTTAAAACCAAAATGTTTTGGTCAAAGCGTGTTAAAAGCCAGACCATGAGACTTCCGGTCTGTCGGGCCGAGTGATGGCTGTGTAGAGTAAACACTCCCAACTTTATTACTCTTTTCCCCAACTTATCTAACTTGAAACCTAAAAAACTTGGACTGTAAGTGCTGGATACCTTTTTCCAAAACAAAAATGCCCAGAAAACTCAAGAAAAAGAACATAAGTGAACGTAGAGAAGTGGGATAAGACGCCTCATCCCAAGCTAGTAGTAATATGGAAGAAGAGCAGCAACCTGATGCAAATGCTAATGTGAAAGACCTCCCCCCCTACTAGGGATATGATATTAAAAGAACTGCGTGCTTTCAGAAAAGACACAAATGAGTAGTTTAATGCCATAAGGGAGGATGTGAATGACATCGGCAAAAGACTTGATGAAGCAGATGGATGCATAGTGGAGAACTTGAATCTAGGTTTTGGAGGAGTTGCTAATGGAATTAGCGATATGAGACAAAGCTGATGGATCTAGAGTAATGTTCATTTCGCAAGAATCTCAGAATATACGTCGTGAAGGAAGGGGAAGGACACATTTCCATCGGAGACTTTTTTGGAAAAGACATTGGGTCTCTCTTCTCCCCCCGCGCTGGGGATTGAAAGAGCTCCCAGTACTGTTGCTGAGACAGTACTGGGACGGAACCCTGCCACGCTCATTTGTTGTGAAATTCGCAAGTTATCGTACCAAGGAGGATATTCTCAAGAAGGCTTGGCAGGCTAGGGTGCTTTATTTTCCAAGCCCCAGGATACATTTAGACAATGACTATGCTCCGGAGATACAATGAAGAAGAAGAGAATATGTGGCAACGAAGAAGGTGCTTTGGGACAATAACATCCGCTTTCAGTCCCCTTTCCCGGCCAGGCTGAGAGTGTACTACAGTGATGGAGCAGTGATGTACAACACGGCGCATGAAGAGACTACAAATATAATGAAGAGAGGATTATCGGTAGACGTGAAAGACAGGGCTACACTCTTGGACCAAATAAGACAGCAGACTTGGCAAACAAGTGCGAAGAAGAAACAGTGAAATATGATCCAAAAGCAGGGCTTCAAGGAGCGTCTTCAGGCATTTAGGCACCAGTGTGACTGTGGGTAATTAGGCTACTTGAGATGGAGCATCATATTGGAGGTAAATTTAGGACTATAGAGATTTAAGAGTAACTGAGATCACAGACTATATTGATAAAGATGTTTTAGTTATATATTTTGATAATTTCATAACATGAGCATATAAAAGTAGATTAAAGTTGGGTCACTCATATGCGTAGTGAGCTGGACTCTACAGACCATTGTGCTTTTGGCCTTTGGGCTAAAGAGGGCACTCTTCCACAAGTGGATAGAAGAGCTTTTCCCTCACCAATTACAACTAATATAATGTTTTTGTTCTTGGGAGTCAATGTGATTGTATGTTTTTGCCTTATAGTGTTCTTTTTCACACGTGTTGTTTGTTTGGGTTTTTTTCTCCCCAGGAGTGTACTTTTCGATTTCTTGTTATTTACAGAGCTTAAAATCACATAATGTTGTAAAATACAGTCTCGTAAGCAAAGTAGTGTCATACAATGTAAATGTCTTGGGGAAACACATTAAAAGAAGCAAAATCATGTCAAAATTAAAAAGAGAAGGAAAAGAAGTTGGCATTTCACAGGAACCCTACCTATCACAGCTAGAGCATGAAAAACTTAGGAAATGGAAATTTAATTAGTATTCACCTTCTTGTCCTCGGGGCTCCAAAAGGGGTGTGGCAATTCTAATATCAAGCAGGAGGGGAGGTTTGTGCTAGTAAAGGGATACCTGGAGGGTACACTGATTACTTTTATTAATATATATGCTCCCCCAGGATCAGAGTTAAAATTCTTTAACCTCCTAAGACCTGAACTCTTTCACGGCATGCATTTTTAATTTCTCTTTGATATTTGGGCTGATTGGGACCCGATGAATGTAAAAACAAAGAATTACCAGATTTTTTTACCTGATTTTTGTTCCTAAGAAAAATGAGAACCACATACAGGGAGTGCAGAATTATCAGGCAAGTTGTATTTTTGAGGAATAATTTTATTATTGAACAACAACCATGTTCTCAATGAACCCAAAAAAACTCATTAATATCAAAGCTGAATGTTTTTGGCAGCCTGGGATCGAACCACCGACCTTCTGATTAGTGGCTGACCTGCTCTGCCACCTGAGCTACAGCCACCCATAAATCAGGTGAACAAGGTGGCCATGTCATTAGTTTTTCTTCTTTTATACCCTTTCTTGCCAGCCATGCTGTGGAATACTTGGACGCGTGTGATGGAGCATTGTCCTGCATGAAAATCATGTTTTTCTTGAAGGATGCAGACTTCTTCCTGTACCACTGCTTGAAGAAGGTGTCTTCCAGAAACTGGCAGTAGGACTGGGAGTTGAGCTTGACTCCATCCTCAACCCGAAAAGGCCCCACAAGCTCATCTTTGATGATACCAGCCCAAACCAGTACTCCACCTCCACCTTGCTGGCGTCTGAGTCGGACTGGAGCTCTCTGCCCTTTACCAATCCAGCCACGGGCCCATCCATCTGGCCCATCAAGACTCACTCTCATTTCATCAGTCCATAAAACCTTAGAAAAATCAGTCTTGAGATATTTCTTGGCCCAGTCTTGACGTTTCAGCTTGTGTGTCTTGTTCAGCGGTGGTCGTCTTTCAGCCTTTCTTACCTTGGCCATGTCTCTGAGTATTGCACACCTTGTGCTTTTGGGCACTCCAGTGATGTTGCAGCTCTGAAATATGGCCAAACTGGTGGCAAGTGCCATCTTGGTAGCTGCACGCTTGACTTTTCTCAGTTCATGGGCAGTTATTTTGGTTTTTCCACACGCTTCTTGCGACCCTGTTGACTATTTTGAATGAAACGCTTTGCAATTTTGAGACTGCTGCATCCCTCTGCAAGATATCTCACTATTTTTGACTTTTCTGAGCCTGTCAAGTTCTTCTTTTGACCCATTTTGCCAAAGGAAAGGACGTTGCCTAATAATTATGCACACCTGATATAGGGTGTTGATGTCATTAGACCACACCCCTTCTCATTACAGAGATGCACATCACCTAATATGCTTAATTGGTAGTAGGCTTTCGAGCCTATACAGCTTGGAGTAAGACAACATGCATGAAGAGGATGATGTGGACAAAATACTGATTTGCCTAATAATTCTGCAATCCCTGTATGAGGATATTCGTTGAAAATTTTGATAGAACAGTAGCAGTATAATGTCCTTGTAAGTGGGTATCAGGCCCTTGTAGAGCAAAATTAAATATTT